CATTTAACAGTTAATCAATAATTTTAGATTACCACAGTTGCATCCCAAATACATAGAAATAATTTAATTCTCATTATATTTATTTCTTCATCTTAAAATTTGATTAAAAATACACCAAATATCTCGTACAAAGTTTTAACATTGTATGGAGTTGGATGAGAAGCTAAAATTTTGACATTGTCAATGCAACTTGCTTTATTTGTTAAAGTTTGTAGAGTTCAAAATCACATTTGGCCTCCTAATAATCCCATTTATTTTCTGTTATAAATAATTCATCTGGTTGTTTAATCTAAATGTTTCATGTGCTATATTTTGGATTAATGGAATTAATATAATGAACACTCCAAATCTCACTTCATGTGGAGAAAATTAAAAGAAGATGTAGTTGTTGTAGAAACCAAGAAAAATAAAAAAGACTTCTTTTTCTTATGTAATATATTTAGCATGAAAAATATTACAGAAATAAATTTGGTATGAACAACACTATTCTTGTTTCCTCAACCAAGCATAAAATAGTACTATATTAATCATTTTCGTCCAACCATACACAAAATTGATTATTGTTACGGCACTAAGTTTAGATTTCTCAAGAATAAATTTAAAATGTAAAATTTTATTTAATTTAAGATATTGGAATTAACTAAATGAATTAAAATACGTGCCGTTCAAAAAAAGAAAAAAAAATTAAAATACCTTCATCCCTCCCCTCCATATACTTCCATACCAATGTTACTCAACCTTTCTATTATATTTTCAATCTATCTATCTATCAAATATTCAATTATATTGATTTTTCCTTAACATGAATATGCATAAAAAGCACTAACTAAAACTAGTTTAGTTCTATATCTTGATTTCTTTTTTTCAACCCCAAATGAAAATTACATAAAGATGAGAATAGATTGATTGTGTAAACCAACAATTTCTCCATTATCCTTTTAGCATTCTCCATTCTTGCAGCAATTAATTAAGTAATCTAAGAGTGATTCCATCTTCCCTAGGCAAAACAGTTATTTTGTGTGAAAGTGTTGTGATTAGAATGAAATGGGAATAAACTGCGGTTGAATCTGTAGATTTAAATGTCATACTAATTGTCTTTAGTTTGCATTTATTAGTTTGTGATTAATGGAACTTTTGTCGGAATTAAAGAGGGTATTATTAGATTCTTCTTGTTTTGCAAGGAAGCAATTTTCTTAGAGTTGAAGTAGCCTGTAAGTATAAATTTTTTTGCTCTGTTAATAACAAATTGTGTTGGGTTAATCAAAAAAAAAAAAAAATCACAATCCTAAATGTTAAAATTTGCGTTGCTCCATGGTGTATGGAGAACAAACAAGCTTTTTACGATACATCAAAATTTAGAATTTCTGCAAGAAGTGCAGGATTGAGAGGAAAATCCAGGTCTGCAAGTTGTAACATGTTTAGAACTTAGAATTCTAATTTTAAATTTCAGATAAATAATTTCAAAAAAAAAAAGTCCGAAATAAAAGAGGTGAAATTTATTACAAGGCCCAACCGAATTGCCCTATCGTAGACTTGTAAGCAAGGCCCAAGTGCCCTATAATCGTAGTCACAGGCTCATAGCCACTAGCTAGGCCTTGAGAATGAATCCATGGGCATGATGGAAGCCCGCGGTGGAGATTACGCCTGAAACACCCTGGGCTGGAGCCTGTATAGCAATTTAGTGTTTTCAGATATATACGTATTTGGTAATTTTTTTCAGATTATTTTTTTAGAAGTTACAAAAAGTCATAAAAGATTTATAATAATGTTATATATAAAGACAAAAGTCTCATTTTAAAGCTTTTCGACTATGTTTTTTACAAAAAAAAACCTAATGTTTAATATGATTATAAAATTATTCATTAAAACTTAATTTTGTATAATTTAATTATATCATAATTTATAATAATTTAATAATAATAACAAATCTAAAAAACTTAAATTACTAAAAAATAATAAATATTATATATTTTAATAATTATATATCTTACAATATCTTTTAAATTTTAATTAAAAATCGATAAAGTCTACTATATTTCTTTTATAATACTTTTAAGAAATAAATAACCAAATATGAAAATAACTTTCAGCCATAGTTATAGTATAGCACAATTCAGCACAATCACACAGCCACAATCACAACTACAATCATGACACTTCACAGTAATATCAAATATATCCTTAACCTATATCTATAATGAACATAGATAATTAAATTAAGAAAATCATTTATAATTAGAGATTAAAACTATAATTATTGTATAAGCACAAATTAAGCTACTAATAAAAAAAAAGTAATTATAAGTATCAAAACTATTCTACATTCTCACTTATTTAACTAACTTTATGCAAAGAGCAAGAAATCTCAACGTCAACGTACAATTTCCAACCGGCTGGATATCATCCCTTATTAAAATAAGCTTCAACCTGCAACCCTGCAAGAGGGTCATGCCCTTTAGCTAATTGAGTCAAAGCCACTTTTGTATTGTCTACAAGTACAAGCACTTTATAGGCTCTCTCATCCTGCATGGGAGGTGTACAACTCTCTGCTTGCTTTGAAAGTTGTTTTCAATGTGCAAAGTGATGAAAGCACTCCACGTTCTATCCTTTCCAACTGCCCTTACTTACTTTTGCGGCTCTCCCTCTCCCGCTTTAATTTCTCAAGCCACTGAACTCTTGGGACAAAGGACTTCCACCAAACTCGAAAATTTGTTAATAATAGTTAATTGTGACATTTATATATCATTTTTTAATGGTTGATTCTTCCCAAACCTGAGATTATAGGCTTCAAATTGTCTTGGATTAGCTTCAAAGTTAGCCAGAAATTCTCAGAACAAACAACGACCATGTGTTTTTAGTACTCCGCCATAAACAGTAGAAAAAGATTAAAATGAAATTTAATCCTTTTCTCTTCCCACTTTCTCTTAAAACAGATGAATAATAATTATGATTATACAATAAATTATTGGAATTATATAAAATTTTAATTATATATTTTAAAATATTAATTTAATTTAATTATTAAAAATAATTAATAACTATATATTTATTAATTAATATATAATAAAATAATTAATTTTTTATTTAATAAATTAAAATTATTTTATAAAAATATTATAAATGACTGTTTAAAAAAATAAAAAATGTAAAGCCCCAATATATATGTATATGACATTAACCACTTTTCAAAATAGACAGTGACACCCTTGGAGTCAATTTTATGAATTCCTTTCTTAGGAGTCTTTCCCATATAATATAATAGAAATGGTCCGCCTTTAAAATATGCAAGAGGATTTAGAATGGGTCAAAAGCATGAGCTCTGAAATCTCCATGGTTGACTTACTTTGATTGAAAACTTCAACCTTATTTACAGGGACAAGTCTTTGTCATTAGCATAACTGTCGTTGGATTGATTCTTTGGTTCCGCGCTTTTTTGAGGGCATGTTTGGTTTGGTTAGTTTGAAATAGTTTTTATTTTTTTTTATACTTTATGAGTGATAAATTTAATTTTTTATTAAAAAATTTAAAAATTATTTTTATAAATAAATAAAAATAAAAATTATAAAAAGTTTAAATTTAAAATTTTTTATTATTTACTATTTAAAATTAAAAAAATTAAAAATATAAATTAAAAAAATTAAATTTATAAAATATAAATAGTATAAAAAAAATTAAAATACTTATAAATTGAAACAAATATGCTAAGAGAAGAATCGAAGCTTTAGATCCAATGGTTCAACTCCAAATCTTAAGTGCTTAGGTGAGGTGATTGGAGTTTTGAATTCTACCACCGTTGTGAACTCCACAAAAAAACGATCCAATGACTATGCACCTCATTTAAGGGGGTGGACTGTTCACCCAACCTGAAAATCAAATCTCCAGTTGTTAACAACTAATTTAAATTAATTTGCTAACCATTACTTTTATCAGAATTTTCAACCAGTTACTTCTGCAAGCAAACGAGTGTAACCAACTTTGACTCGTTGAATTTTCAAATATACATTAGGAGAGAATCCAGACAATTTCTGTCCTTATCTCAGCTTCAGGGACAAAAGAAAAGGTAAAAAGAGGAAACTTAACGATGGAATCTCAAATCCCTCACCCGGTCACCCCTCAGCATTATATAATACCCTGTTGGACTCTCATTTTAACTCACATTTAGCCTTCCCATTTTCCGCAATATTCAGTTAAGAATCTCTTCTTTTGTTTTTTAAAAAAATTACTTTCTTCTCTTCTCCGTTGCCTGCTTTCTTTACAATCTGCAGCAGATTCACTGATAATGGCCCTAACAAAGGCACAGCTGGATGGAGTGGCTAGGAGCAACAAGGTGAGATGCCCACCAGAAAGATCGCAGAACGAAGGCAGGAAAAAGTCCAGTGTGTTGAAGAAGGCAAAGGATGTAGTAGTTTGTGGAAGGAAGAAGGCAAGACTCCCTCCGAAGAGAGGTCGGGTTATAATGATGGTGCTCGAGAGTCTATCCAAATCTGTAGCAAAACTACCGTCGAAGTCATGGAATCTACTAAACAGAAAGAACAATGTTGCATCAGAGGAAAAGTAGCTTCCACCACTTGAGAAAAGTTGAGAGCTAAGCATGAACACCTTCAGATTAGCCTAGGAATGCATTAACTGGATGTATATCCTTCTCTGTTGATTACTGTCAAGGCTCAAAAGTCGAAACTGATTTTGTTTACGAAGGAATGGTTGTGAATTTCATTTTTTGTTTTATGTAACAATTCGAGAGCATTAGTCCCTTGTCTCTGTTTCTGCTACATGGTTGTATATTTATATAACACATATGGTGTTAGTATACCTTAAAACTAGCTAGCAATAAAGTACTCGGCATGAACTCTGTATTATTGCCAAGACAGTTGACCAAACTGGTTTTGCAAGTTCACTTCAAATTCTTCACTCTTCCTCCGAGGTGGGAATGTTGAGGCTATATAGTTTCTGTTCTGTTTTCATCTTTTCTGTGTTAAGTTGTTGACAAACAATAATGTTTAGTGGGGATAGGTGGACGTGGGACATACTGTAGTGTTTATAATTTTCTCCTCAAGAGTCAAGACAAAACAAGGCCGTGCATGTGCGGGGAATGAACCTTTCTTTTTCTGCCTTTGCCAAAACTTATTCCGCTTTTTAACTTTAATAATGTCCAACAACAGGGGAAATTCAGTGCACTTTGGTCTGATTGACATACAGTGGATAAATGGGGCAGGGTAGGATATTTAGAAAAAAATTGTTAAGTTAAAAGGAAGAGGGGATAAGTTGATATGGTTCTCCTTTTTCATGTCTTTCCCTACCTCATTGGTTAAGGTGAGACAATTGAGGTTGGGTCAAGCACACAAAAGATATATATTAGGTCATTGTTACACAAACGTAAAGGCTTAAGATATAAAGACATCATTTTAAACTTAAAAAATTTATAAATTTATACATATTTAAGTCACTTAATATTATTAAATAATTTCATAAATACTTTAAGTTGATGGAATTACATGAGAGAAATCAGGTCACAGGTACACACAAATAAAAGCTTAATATGTAAAAATATTATCTTAAATTTAAATGAGTAATTTAATATGTTCATAGTCTTCACATATATAAATTGCTTACTTTCACTATATAAGATATCATTGACAACTCCATTACCCACTCACCACCATGTGAACAACCTAACACCATCACCACACTAAAGCTTGGAGTAATTATGAGCTTAGACTCCATATTCCAAACATAATGGTAAAATAATAGCATTTCCCAGAATACTATGAAAGATAAGCAATGAGGCAGACAGCACTATATAGATTGCCATGACGCAGCAAATTTCAACCGGATTCTTGACTAAATCTAGCCTTCTCTTTATTATTTCTCAATTGAAGCAAAGGCAAACAAAAAGACTAAAGAAGCAGCACTAAACACGGTCAACTTTGCTTGTAGGGTAATCATATAGAAACAGCCAGTGATTTCTTTGAAATGCACCCATGTTGGTTGTTGATCATGACTTGACTCAATAAACAAAGTGACCCCAATTATTAATTTGTAATTAATTTTCTTAGTTGCTAGTACCTTTCATAGTTATGGAAGCCAGAGGATTTCACTCACAACCAAGACCATTGGTCCACAGTCAATAATATTAATATTTTGTGGGGGTGAGGAGTAACATGCTGCATGCAAAAAGGCGAAAAAGGCCAAATGGCAAAAAGCAAGTGGGAAGAATTCAAACTGTAGACGTCAGGGGTCAAAAATGGCAAGTTACTGTACACCCGTACAGAAGCACTTCCGTGATTGTTTTGTACGGATGAGTTTGTCAGGACCAACACTCTGCAATCAAGTGCTTTTAAATAGTACTAGTGTTCTAGAAGTCCCTATTCCCTAACCACGAGTAGATTACTACATTATTTGACTTAGTGGCTAATATATTAACTCGATTGGGATCAAAGGTGGTGTTGAATGATAGCTTCTGAGTTTTAATCTTATAATGAGCAAAGTTGAATTAAGGAGAAGAGAGAATTATTGTTTATTATATAATTATTATGATGAATATATATATATATTAAAAGTAACTAATTTAATTAAAAAAATAAAAAATATTGTATAATTTAAATTATAATAAATTATATAATATTAACTATTAAATAAAAAATAAATCCTTTATATTAAAGCTTCTCTTAATTTAATATTTGATATAATTCAAATTTTTAAATAAAGTTCTTTAAAAAATAAACATTTCAACTTTTCACTCTCTTCAAAATAAACATGCTCTTAATTTCTTATACAAGTCTTGAAAATTAGTTTTAGATATGAGCCTGTTGTTTTGCATCCAGAACCATATCATTTAATGGTTGATGTTTTACATTACAATCTGTAAATTACCTTTTTGTGTAGATGCATAGAAATCCCATTCATGGTGGATAGATCGTAGGGATGTAGACTTCCAGGACATTATGGTAGTCCATGGATAATTGAGATTTCAACTGCTCAAAGCTCAAGTTTCCCCTTTAATCATTCCCACGTTAAATCAAAGCAGGACAGGACAAAATTTTACTGTCAGCAATGATGCGGGGGACGATGACACAGTTGTTGGAGAAACCAGGTAACTGAGAAAAAATCACTGTTAAAAGTATACAAACCACATCCAAAAAATTACCACCGCACTTTCAAAAATGATCATGCTTCTATATGCTCCAGAGCCTGCTAGAATTACGGGAGTAACAATCATACTCATGATTCATTTCCTAGAAACTGGGACAGCTTCAGCAGTTCTGTCACACGCTCAATCACCACCAAGTTCGTAACAGAACTATAAAGAGATCAAAGTGTCAATGACCATGAAGTCCAGAGTTTCAAATGGCAAGTGAAGGCAGATGCTTGAACAGCACGATCATGCAATTTGATGCATTAAAATGCATGAAGACTGAAGGCTCTTGCAAAGTTAAACATCGTTATTAGGCTCCTGAATTTGGATTGACATTTTTGCTAAGCTTGCTTCCAGTTCATTTAACTCACCAATGTCGAGTTCATCACCATCGTCATTATAATCCTCAGGAAGAACTTCAGCATCACCACCAGATGTTGCTGAAGTGCTTTGTTCATTGGCAGCAGAATTGTTATTAACCTAAAGTTGAATAAGCAAAACAAGATAAAGTTAGCAGCCCTACTGCTTTTGATTTCAACATACCAAAGAAAAAGTGAACGAACTTGTACATTTACACGTCTCTATGCTCCAAGTCAACAAGTAAAACAGGCTATTCAACATATAATAATACATAACATTTCAAAATTTTGACAGTCAAATCAAGGAGTAGAAAAGAGAGGCAATGGATTTTCTTAAAGTGAAAAACCACAAATTGCACTCGCAGTGGTTGCTTTTTGTCTTTTCAAGGAATAGCATTGTTTTATAGCCAGTGGGAAAACAAAAGCTCCTTCTACAACTAACAAGACAAAAATTTGGTGCGCAACCTAATCCAAGACCTTCCTAGCCTATTTTGTTTGGCACATAAAATAATAATCCTAATACGTTCTAGTACTAGCATTGTAAATGGAGCTCCCAAGAGCTTCAAGGAATATATAACTGATAACTAAAGATTACCTTCTGTTCTGGAGCATCAGATTCCTCCTCTCTTTGGTATTTCTCATAAGCCTCAGCATCATCCACAAATAAACTAGCATCTGACATAAACAGCTCACATCCACTGAAACAAAATGTAGAAAAAAAACATATTAAGTAAGAAAGAAAATAACATCCAACAAACACAGGTATACATTGATGATTCATCCATCCTTTTTCTTCTCTATTCTTAGAGACAAACACAATGAAAATGTATACCTCATATGGTCATTCTTAGCCCTCTCAGCCTTCTGCGTAGCCAAACCATCTTCCTTTTCTGCAGTCTTCTTCTTCTTCCATTCCATAAACAACTCAGGAGTCATAGGCATTGAAGTTGTTATTTTTGCACGCTACATAACCAACAACAGGATTTAGTTAGGTAGTCTAATAAAAAATACTTTTAATAATTAGATAAGGATAGGTGCTCTATCATGAAGACAAGTTATACACGCTCCCTTAGCTATAAGGATGGCCAGCTTGTTCCCATATATTATCCAATTTTTACCTGATTCTCAATCCTCTTAATTGGGTATTTTTTCAGCCTCATCCTCTATTAGGGCCTTCATCTGAGATTTTAAGACATCCAGGAGGAAGAGCATGCCTGTAATGGCAGTCCTTTCCATCATTTGGACAGACCCAAAACCATCCATATTGTTTCTTTTCCACAGCTTCCAAGAAGTATTTACAAGCCTGAACATATATATATCCAGAATTCCAAATCAATACAAGTCTTTCTATTTTCTACAGATGGAAAAGATGCAAGAGAATTCATTGAAGGTCACCAGACTTGGAATAAGTAAAGTTTTAGAAAGAATACTAGGTTGTCATCTCAACATAGCAGTGTCAAGAGAAATGTGCAAAATGGACATAACAATATTAATAACATGAAAGGTTGTACCTCAAGGCTAGTCTAACTTTTCATCTCCATACATGGTGAATGTTATGTTACACATTTGCAGGTAAGTTCTTCAAGCCAACAGAAGACAGTTTACCACAACATTCTTATTGATCAATGTTAGTAGATTCCAAATAGAGTTTGATATGATAATTTTTCAAGGCAAGAAGATAATATTAACATATGCATGTCAAAAAATAGACTTTAAAAGTAACTTTAGAAGTAGAATATGCATTGCCAAGTGAATAAATACACACACAATTTTTGGCACAAAGGAGAATCTTACAATATCAGTAGGTTTGTTCTGATTATACTCTTTCTTTTTTGACTTCACAACTTTCTCCAAAGTCTCTTGATCTCAGTCCTCCATTGTTTCTTAAAGAACGAAAGACCATAAATGATAATAAGAACAAATTTCAAGAAAACAAGCCAAATAACTGCCAGCATAACAATCATATAAAACACGGTGTTCATGCAAGAACCTTCATCATGCTTATTGCTGTAAAGGTCAATCTTCTCTCCCTTCCTCTGAGCATTCAGATCATGTGAGAACTTGCACTTAAAACCTTTTTGACACTGTCCCACTTTATAGAATTCACATACCATGGACTTGGGATCGACACCTGCTCATGTATTGATAACCACGTGATCAATAAACTTCAACGAAACACAATCACTGGGAAAAGAAAAAAAAATAATGGGATATTACCAACAGGCACTTTGGGTTGACTAACAACAGTCTTGAACAAATCACTCAACTCCCTCTCCTAGGCCTTCTCTTCCTCCTCCATTGTCTGTGAATTGAATAAATTTCATAACCAAATTAACACTTTGATAGCAACACCTCATTACATAAGAAAAATAAGAGCATAAAAAAATGGGTCTTCCGCCATTTCACTTAATCTTGTTCAAGGTTTTAACTCTACCTGCCAAATGCAAAAGCCATGAATCAATTCATGTGAGTTCATTAAACATGCCAGAGAAAGTATGCATTCTTGCTTCACAATGAAAACTGATGTTTTCACTGTAAGTGAACTGCATAGCTAACAACAAAGTAAATTTCCAAAATTTTGATTCCGAGGCTACCGCAAGAAAACATTAAGCAACAGATAAATTGAAAGTAAAGGGATTGATGGAAGAGTGGATGAATGGCAGAACTGGAACCTTGGCGGCGACCTTGGTGGCGTCGTGCTTAGGTTGCACAGACTGTTGAGGCTCTGCACGTCTTTCTGGACATTTTGTTCTTAAGACCGAACGTCTTGTCTACTGCGAACTTCTGCTTCTTCGCTAATTCTGCTTTCGAGGGTTGCTTCGGCGGCATCTCTTATCACTTATCAGCATCAAAACCTCCCTTCTCCTTTCAAAGCGAAGATAATCCAATCTGAACCTCAACTGATCTTTTTCCGGCGATTGATTGCTCGATCGTAATCGTCCCGGTGCCGGAGACATTGAGAGTCCGGAGTGCTGGACTGGAGGCTGTGTCATCAGGTGTATTGGGCTTTTTCGACGTATTGAGCCTTTTGGACCCGACGGGATCCAGATTCCAGAAGCCTTCTCTCTCTCTGTCTCTCTTTTTTTTCCTTTTTTTTTTTAATTTATTTTTTTCTTTTTCTTTTTCTTTTTCTTTTTTATTTTCAAATCTTGGTTTGCTTTTACTTAGACACCTCATGAAATTTTCTCTATCATATCTTAACTTACCTTATATCTTAACTTATCTTAAATTTTCTTTAATTTAACCGAAAAAAAATTATTAATTAAGTTACTTTGATTGATTACTCCAACAAAAAAATGCTTTTAATTGATTCATTTGTCGAATAAAACCTAGTGGGGAGAACGATAATGTAGACCTTATGTCGAACCTGTGTTAGGGTCTCCTTAGGAAATTGAATGCCTAAATTATGCTCAAGAGTCCCAGCTTCTTGGTATGCCTATATGATAAGATAAAAGTTTTATTTGTCAGTGTTTTACACAAATTTTTTTTTACACAATACTTCATTTATAAATATAAATTTTTAAATTTTAATTAATTTTTTAAGCACTTTTATTAATTTTAATTAAAATTTTATATGTTTTTATAATAATAATAATAATAATAAAACCTATCACTACAATACATCGCAACAAACGAAGCATATTAGCCTATTAGTTGTTGTGCTTGCTAATTTCATGTAGCCTTGCTGCTGGTCCAACCGGATGGCTTTAGTATTTGCCAAGTAGTAAGTTAAAACAGGCTGCATACATTAAACCCGGGAAATAACCAGCTCTTGTCCGCATGAGTACAGTCAATGCAAGATATAGATTGTCCTCATAATTGACACAAACTATTGAAGTGAAAAATGGAGTGTAAACCCATTTATGTCTAAAAATATGTGTGTGTGCGTTTTCCATTTTTTATATTTTTATTTTCAAGTATCAAGGGCAAGAACATAATCTGACATCCAATGCTACGGTCTGTCTTTCCTACCATGCTTCAGGTACATTTGGGACCCAACAAGAAAACAATTGCCAGTTGGTTTTGTTGAAACTTGGTCCTGTTTCTAATGAATAACCTCTGTGATGCTTGCGACCAGGATGGATGCAGCATTCTGTGGATAGCCCCCACAAGGATACAAGATACGTCCTTTTTACTTTGCCGGGCGAAACAGGGAATGCAGCGTGATTGTTTATTTTAGGTTGTGGGCTTCACTCTCCGTTTCCTATTATGTTGGAACTGCAATTTGATGTTTTTATTGCGATAAAGAATCCCTTTTTAATTTTTTTACTCTTAAAATTTGAAATCCAATTAATTTTTTATTTTTTCATTAAGATTTTATGTTATAACTGAAAATTTAAAAGAAAAACAAAAAATGAGCCTTTTTTTTTTTTTTAATAAAGAGATTAAATTGCTTCTAGATAGCATCTGCGACGTTGTCGTGCTGATGTTGTGGCAACTTCTAGATTTATTTTTATTTTTATTTTGTGAATCGCACCTGTTATTCAATAATTCGCCCCTAAACTTTAGTACTTGGGTGAGATCGTAATTAGAGTTTTGAACTCTACTACTATCATGAATTTTACCAAAAAATGATCTAATGACTACATATCTCATTTAAGGAGGTAAAATGTTCTCCTAATCTGGAAGATCCAATTATTAACAACTAACTTATATTAACTTCTTAATTATTATATGTCAAAAAAATAAAAACTTTTACATATTTTTGTCCTACATTCACCTAAACTCTGTCGTTTTGCTAGACTAGGGTCAAAATTAACGCGGTCAGCACCGTCCTTTTAATACCAACCACCCAAGCGTTGGAATTTGGTTGGATGGTTGACGTCCCCGAGAACGACGTCGCTTCCTCCGATTTCCGAAATTCTCCACTCTATCGCACCGCCACGTGTCCTCCGTGAGATTTTGAAGATCTTTGGAGATGCCATAGAAACACTAGAGCTCGCTGCTTTTGATTTTGTCCAGCTCAGCGATCCCCCGTGGCCCCTAACTCGCTGCCACCTGTAAATTTTTATTTTACCGGCATTGCCACCTGCAAATATCCCGTCCGATGTGGCCTTTCTCGAACATTCCACACCTCCATTTTGTCCACGTCATCTTCCTCATTCTCCAATCTAATATCTTCCCCTTATCTTCCCCCGAAACAAAAGGTCGCCGCCGACATCAGTCTCTGGTTACTCGCCTTATTTTCCCGGCCAGTAAACAAAAATTCGACCTTACTTTATAAAATTCCGGTTCTTGATCTTAATGCATAATTTTTTTTTCTTTTACTTCAAAATCATTTTTTAAGGTAATTTTTGGATTTGAATCTGTTCCCAATCTAGCTTGGTGATGGTGGTTCATGAAGCTGGAAGACGATAATCTGCGCTGAAATCACGTAAGTTATATATATTTTTCCTTTGGAAAATTAGTTTCCTTTTCTATTGATTGCATTCTTTTTTTTTTTTAATGGTTTTTTCCTATAGAAGTTTTCTAGTTGCTTGAGGTTAGGGTTTGGACATGTGAATCTTCTGTGCCTTTGGATCTCTGTTTCTGTAGAATGCTGGAGATGTTTCTGGAATCTGATGGAATGTTCTGTTTTTACAGGTGAAAGTAGCCACCTATTTGGTTTATTGATGGATCTGCTTTTTGTGGGGCTGTATTCCCGGTGATTAGTGGTGGTTTTAGGTTGAACTGTCTGTAATTATGGAGGTTTTGGTGGAGGGGAAGCTATGTGCTATCTGTTTTGCGGGTTGAAGAAGGTTTTTCAGGGCTATCCTTGTTATCAGTCTCTTTGAATCTCATTGACAGGGAGTGTCTAGATGAATGTTGATGGCGATGGGGATAAAGGATTGCCAGACGTAAGGAACAAGGAAGCTAAGGATGGAGTTGCGGATGGGGAGCAGGTGACACTTGAAGAGGATGATCTAAGAGTTAATGGGATTTCTGAAGATGTAAAAGGTGGTCATGGGAGGGCTGTTCAGGCCCGAGCTGGGCTGCAAGTACTGCAGCAACAATCTCAGAATTCTATGGTTTGTTGGGAGAGGTTTCTCCATGTGAGGTCACTCAAGGTTCTGCTTGTGGAAAACGATGATTCTACTCGGCATATTGTCACTGCACTGCTGCGTAATTGCAGTTATGAAGGTAAGCCAAGTCATTGTAATGCCAAACATAACCACATCCTTCCAATTACCATTTAATTGGAAAAAGAAAACAATCTATAGATTTTCTTTTAGTCTATTAGGAGAAATAAAGACCAAATGAAAAAAAGAAAAGAAAATATCAGGAGAATATTATCCTGTCAAGTATCAACAGAAGAGTGGCTTGAGTTGCTGATTAACCTTCTTTCATTTGTAAACATGTTCTTGGGTGTAGGCATTTCCATTGTTAACAAAGTAAGGTCTTTTTGATTCTATGGTTTTTAAAACATATTGCATAGGTTATCCCATGTGCCTGCTGTATCTAGTTGCATGCAGATGTCTTAGCAGCTCACATAATCTCTAATTATCCTCAAGCAGAGAAATGATCCATAGATCTACTGCAGAGGTTTAGTTCAAGTGTGTTTTCTAGTAGTTTCTGTTTGGCTAAAGGGCCTGGAACTCTAAAATTACTTGTATGATCAGAATTTTCTTAATTCTTTATTATAAGCTATGTTTGCTTTGGTACTTGCCATTTTGATGAAGGTTTGACTTTGAACTTGAGTATTGAGCTTGTTATCCTGATGCTTGATATGGAACCAGTTCTTGCTTGAGTTGTCTTATTGAAATTTTGAATGTTGTCCTAGCTATGTGAATTTTTTGAATTTAGTTTACAGCCTAGTAGCCCACTAATCTTTAGTTTGTGTCTCTATGTGACATTTGACATATAAATGGTGTGTTGATTTAACCTCATAGCCAATCTGGTGAGTTTCAAACTAATTTCTTTGACTTATTATCCAGACCAGCTTCAGTCTTATGGCATAAGTCTGCAGCTTTGCAGCTTGTATACTTTGTAATAGTATTAACATAAGTTTTTTCCCCATATTAGAGGGTACTTGCTCTTAGCTTTCTAAAAATCAACATATGTTGAACTTTAATTGTGAATGCTTAAAGATGATTAGAGTCTTTCCTTTTACATTCAAAATTTACATCTGGGTATACTTAGGACCTCTGCTCCTTTCTGACCCTTTGATAACAAGTCACTAAAATCTATACACACCGAAATTATTGTGGCATATGTTGTGCTTGCTCTATTTAATCTGCCTATAACCACTTGAAAATAACTGCTACTTGGTTAGCTTTAAATTATGAGGAAGAAACTTTCTGCAACATATTAATCTTTTCTTTGGCTAAACTGAAACATTGAATCTATTTTTTCACGTTTGGCTTCTTAGTTTTTCTACTTGTTAACTTGAAATTCTTAATCTTAGTTATTGAAGCTGCAAATGGATTCCAAGCCTGGAAGATACTAGAGGATTTGAATAATCATATTGATCTTGTCTTGACTGAGGTAGTCATGCCTTGCTTAAATGGCATTGGTCTTTTATGCAAGATAATGAGCCATAAAACTCGGAAAAATGTTCCTGTGATCAGTAAGTTTTCTCTGCCCTCCACCACTGTATTAACTGTTCTAGTATAATTTTTCTTTTTTTTTTTTGGAGATCTTTTAAGCGAATACTTTTAACTACTGCTTTGTGTGAGTTCTTCGTGCAGTGATGTCATCGCATGACTCGATGGGCTTAGTGTTTAAGTGCTTGTCAAAAGGTGCTGTTGATTTTTTAGTGAAGCCTATTCGAAAGAATGAGCTTAAGAACCTTTGGCAACATGTTTGGAGACGATGCCATAGTGTGAGTTATTCATTTCCCTTCTAGGGTTTAGATCCCCCACAATAAAGAAAGATTGGAATCCTTTTTACTAGCAGTTCCTCTTTGTTTTGAAAAACATATGTAATTAAACATAGGCTTTTTTGCACTGAATATGATGGCATGTTTCACTTATTTATTTTCTGGTTGCATGATGAAAATAAAAAATTTGTAACAACACCAAATAGGACTCATACACGTACAACTCTGTTATCATGATATCATACTTCTTTCCTACATATTTTAGGGAAAGAATATGGATTTCTAATGATTTCTTGTTTTTCCATTGATCAACTTTCATTCTCAGTCTAGTGGTAGTGGAAGTGAAAGTGGCACGCAAACTCAAAAATCTGTGAAATCAAAGAGCATTGAGAAGTCTGACAACAACACTGGCAGTAATGATGAGGATGATAATGGAAGCATTGGTCTAAATGTTGGGGATGAGAGCGATAATGGTAGCGGCACCCAGGTATTAGGTCCTCAAGTTCACTAGAATGGTTGTTTTCCATAGTCTTATTCATAGCAAATTTTATTCCATAAGTGCAAAATAAGTCAGCTATATTTTAAAATTACTAACCATTTCATTTAATTATTTTGTGTGGGAACTGGTTTTCTTTTTTTTTTTTCATTTTTGTTGCACAGTAAAATTGTATTTTATTAGATAGAGTACAAGGGGTACTCCTGCCCATAATACAAATAAATACAGTTTTCTATCACCCAGCAATACAGCATACTCTGCCCGCCTGAATCATTCCTCAGCATATAGAGCAACAGAGGGCAAAAAGAGGTCAATGCTGCTTACTGGTACCCAAAACAGAATAGTCCAGCCTTTCCATCCTAGGTTATTTCCTCCTTTTAGCTTTTAAGCACAAGGCTGGTTCCAGCATCCATTCGTATAGATTGAAGGAGTAGTCAGATGCCCTTCCTCTGATCCAGTAGAAGGCTCGAAGTTGTACGAGTTCAAAGATGCTTCCCACATTGTACTCAACATTCCTGAAAATCTTTGCATTCCTTGCCAACTACAAGGACCATATAGTAGAGAACCACACCACATCCCACCCATCTCTCAGTAGAGGATTTTTGAAAAATGGAGAGTGTTGCTCAAAGGACTCATAACAACTCTTGGCTTGAACCGAGAAGATCCCCCACCATTGTAAACATTTAGACCACACATGGTATGCAATTTTGCAATGAATAAGCAGATGGTTGACGTCTTCATCATTTTCACCACATAGACAGCACAAAATATGACTAGGATCGGATATAATACCCCTTTTGTGTAAATTAAACTTTGTAGGAATTCTGTCCTGCAATACTTGCCAAACGAACGCACTGATTTTTGTGGGAATAAGTCTGCTCCATATTCTTTTATGTATCCTTGTTCTATTGTTGGAGTTGCTATTGGAGAGAAGTTTATATGCTGACTTTACTGAATAATTTCCTTCTTTGTCATGCCTCCAATCCCAGCTATCTTCTTTGCCTTGTGCTGGTTGTGAGTTGTCAATTAGGCCTTGAAGGTTGGTGAGGTTGCCTTTCTCCCAAGAGATTTGAAACTAGTTGTCTATTTCAGTTTTTGTGTAGATTCAAAATAACAAGAGATTTTAAACTTTCTTGACTTGACATTACTTATATTTTGTGCTTTACTGTCTACATTATTTCATGTATCAAAATGGTTGTGCAGCTGAAAGGGTATGTGTTTTGCTTGGATACCATTTGATTTCTCTTCTGTCAATATTCATCTCAATCAATTTATTCAAGCTAAATATCAAGAGACTGTTTTTCCGTAGAACTCAAAGCATAAAACCAATTTTGTCTCCCTCATAAAGTCCATCATTGTTGAGCATTGCAAATCTCTGAAAATGCTCTAGATGGAAAGCGTCTTGTCTCTTCTGCATTCAGCTCAAAACGTTGTAGGAACTCGAACCATGGACCATGGAGCAAACATAGAACTTAGAAAGTGTTGTCTTTTTTTATCAATCACAATTTTTTCTTGTCAGTTTGAGTCCTTAAAATGCTCTTTTGCTGTTTTGTATCCTATGAAATTACCACTAACATGTGAGGAGGTTCTTCTGCTTTGACTAAAATGTTGAAATAGGATCTAGGAGAAGCTATTTAGTTTTGTCTCTTTTCTATTTGGGAAAGGAGTTTGGTTGACACTATCTTGATAATGGCTTAATAATTATTTTCATAATATATTGAGATGAAATATTAACAACACATGAAAAACAAGAATTCTCATATATGCACAGCTCAGTTATGTCATATCTGCAAATACATGTGTATTTTTAAGCAAAAAATTAGAAGCAAGTATTCATGAGCATCCTTTGTTTATTGTCTGACAAAAAGTTATAGGGTAGTGCAAATTTAAAATTCAGCAAAATTATTCTAGGACTTTGATGAAAATCTTCAAATTACTCTGTATTTGAAAAGTACCAATACATTCTCCATATGCAGAGTTCTTGGACAAAGCAAGCTGTAGAAGTTGACAGCCCCAGGCCAGTGTCACCCTGGGGTCGAGTTGCTGAGTGCCATGATAGCACATGTGCCCAAGTTATCCACTCAAATGCTGAAGCTTCTGGGAACAAATGGGTGCCTATAACTGCAGTGAGGGAGCGCCAAGAGCAGGATGAACAGCGCGGTAGGAATAAAATCTTTTGAACCTCTGTGGCTTTAGCCTTTAGATTCTTCTTTTTATTCCATTTTTATTGGATCCTGTGGCTTTAGATGAAGATGCTCTAATATTGCACACTTTTCAATCTCTTTCAATAACTAATTTTTTTTTTCTTGCATTGTCTTTAATAGATAACTGCTTGTCTTACTTTTGTTTTTTCTTTCTCCTTTTTATTTTGTTCTATTTTCCAGACAATATCCCAAATGGTAAAGATCTGAGGAGTGATGTTCCTAGAAAAGGAGATTTACATGTTGAATGCCCAGCAGAGGCCCCAGTTAAGAAAGCTGGTGCAAAGCAATATAATCTGCTTAATATGGGCTCCAGCAAGCTCAGTGAGCAGGTTGATAAAAGACACCTGGACCTGAATATGGAAAGTCCCTCTGGAGAACTAGAGTCTGAGGGTGCTAATCTAACCAACATCACCATGAAGACTGATCATCTTCAGAAGGAAAGTGCAGATTATGAGGCTCCGAGCAGACTTCCCAAGATCTTGGATGGCAATGATATAGCCATTAATGATGCTAAAGAACCTCCATCACTTGAACTTGGATTAAAAAGACTCAGAGGAGTTAAAGACACTGGGCCAGCAATTAGAGAGGAGCGCAATGTTTTGAGACGTTCCGACTTGTCAGCCTTCTCAAGGTATGAGGGAAATGTTGGCAACTAGAAACTAGATTATCTTGAATCAAAGAAATTTTTCATTTAAATTTTTTGGAATTCTAAATTTCAACCACCATATATCACCAAGCAGGTATAATACAAGCTCAACTGTGAACAAGGTTCCTAGTGCAAATGTCGGAAGTGCTTCTGCACTTGATAACAGCTTAGAAATGACAAGAAAAGGATCGGTGTGTGATGTTCAATCTCAATCAATTAATGATCCTCCTAATCAATGCTCAAATGTTGGCAGCAACAACATTGACGTGGGCTCCACAACTAACAATGCTTTCATCAAGCCAGCAGTTTTAAAGAATAAATCAGCTGCATCATCCACTGTCAAACCTTCCCAACCATCATCTACTTATCAGCCAATGAAAAATGACCTTTTACGTGCTGGGAAGAAAGGTGTATTAGACAAGGCTGATGATGTGGCAGCTACTACAATGCTTGATCAACCTAGAGGTGTACATGAGGAAGTTCAAGTTCCATTCCTCCAGAACCACTATGATAACCATTTCCATATTTCCTGCAACATGCAACAGCAACAGCAGCAACCTGAACACCATGATCTGTCATCGAAGAAAATGGTAGCAGCTGCTCCACATTGTGGATCATTCAATGTGTTGGGAGGGCCTCTTGAAGGTAATATTGGCAACTACAGTGTGAATGGAAGTGCCTCAGGTAGTAACCATGGAAGCAACAGGCCAAATGGGAGTAGCCCCCTAGTGAATACTGGTGGGGCAAATGTAGAAAGTGACAATGGGATTGCTGGAAAAAGTGGCAGTGGTGATGCCAGTGGAAGTGGGACTGGAAACAGAGCTGACCTGAACAAATCTGCTCATAGAGAAGCTGCATTAACCAAATTCCGTCAAAAGAGAAAAGAGAGATGCTTCCGGAAAAAGGTAACTTACACTAAATTGTTATTGTACTCGTACTAGTTATAACAAGCATATGATTGAAGCAATTAGGTGGAGTCTGGCAAGTTGTACCATTTAATGCCAGTCTCAAGGGTTTTTCTTATCTGAGCCTTCATTAAGCAACATTAATAGCATGTGTTTATATCTGCCTTACACTTGTCTAGACCATGTCTCAACACACATGCACAGAAGGGAGGGAAGAAACAATATGCCATTTATTTTTCTCAGAATAGATACATTGACAAATATATATACATATATATATATATTTAAAAAGCTAATTTCGTTTAATTTTTATCATCAAACCACTTCATGCACAGACATACTTGTCAAGAAATTTCCATTGACCAAGATCTTCCTTCAATCCTAGGATAGCAATCTTACTCATTGGTAGCTGACTAACTGTATTTTCTATTGAGACTTGGCAACAAGTGATATGATATGTTAGAAATTTGAATCTAACTCACTCTTTTCTGGTTCAGAAATAAGTTAAGTTTGAATTTTGTTAATCATGTAAACTTAGAACTTGCATTCATGACTTGCTCCTTCCAGGTTCGGTACCAAAGCAGGAAGAGACTAGCAGAACAACGGCCCCGTGTCCGTGGGCAATTTGTGCGTCAGACAGGGAATGAGAACACAAGCAGTGCTACTGATAAAAGTAGTTAAACCCTCTATCCATCACTGTAAGTCTGCAAGAAGATTTGGTCCGATTGATATGATAACAGATGTCAGTGTAAGATTACTTGGCAATCTTAAGACTTGCTCCTCAAACTGTGTTTTATTGCTATAGACCATTTCTATTTTCAGTCTCTGTTTGTTTTGGACTTAAATTGTTTCTTCTAGGAAAAGGTGGTCTATGTCTCTTGGAAGGATTTACTCTTCTGCATTACGAGTTTATGACCCCTTCCACATTGTGTGCTGATTTCTACAAACGATTGTGTTTGAACAGTCTTTGAAACTTTCATTTTCTTAGCTTCTTAATTGAAGATTTTTATTTTTAAACTGTTAAAATTTTCATCCCTATTACATGGATATTTCAATGTCTGGGACTACGGTATGTGTAGCTTTTGCAGATTGGCATGGGATGTTTTTTATTTGTTTGGATATTAGATGCTTTTCATTCCACGTCAAAAGTTTTTAATGTCAAGTAAGGGTGATTTTCTCCCTCTTTAAATCTATAGAAATATTTTTTTTATTATTAATTATAAGCCTACAATGTCACATGAAAACTTTTAACTATATATATCCATTATACCGAAAGAGTTTCTCAATCAGCCAAGTGGGGAGCGAAGTCTCTTCGTCAACAAGCTGCAACTCATTGAAGATATGCTCACCCAATGTTGTGGAAAGAGAATTATCATTGAAGCCACAACACAGTGCTTGCTCTGCCAGTGTTGCAGAAAGAGAAGGGTCAAGTGGTTTTTGTGGATGGATGGGGCTTTGGAGTTATGAAGGCTTGAAAGTTGAAGCTTTTAGGTGGTAGGCATTTAAGGAGGTACTTAAGGACGTTGTCTTACCGAAGTGGAATTCTGCTGTATTCAATGGTATCTCGACTTCTCGAGCCAATAAAAATACACTATTTCAATTTTTTTTTTTTCACATTTCGTCAATTATCTGACCAAAAAAAAGAAGAAGAAGAAGCAGATATGGCATGTTTTTATTGGCTAACGATAGTAAGTTAATGGTATTTCAGGAATACAACAGAATAAATGTCTTAGAAATATAGGGTCAGTGCTTGTCCGTTTTACCTTAATGCATGCTTTAAAAATAAGGTAGTTTAATCTTTTTCAATAAAAAATTATTGAAACGACATAATTTTAAGATAATTTTTCTCTTAATCTTTAAAAGGTAAGTTTCACAGTCACTTTTTTCATATATATATATATATATATATATAAACCGTTAGAGCAGGTTAACTCTAACTAATACACTTTTGCACCTGCCAACCCGTGTAGTATTTTGCTCTTTGTAATGAATAGCACGAGCCCCCCACCACCACCCAACCCCTAGATATTGGATCATGCAGCACCTAATTCAGGTGTGCAATTTCATCTAAAAATATAGGGTTTCATAAGTGACTTTTATTGCTTTTATTTCTTTTTAACCATTTTTAATTTTGTTTATACATCAAAATTATAGGTTATATAATAAAAAATAATTCTTTTATTATCTTAACTACTTAAAACACTTTTTTAACGACTTTAAACCTTTAACCATCTTTAATTTAAATGTATATAAATTGTATTTGTACTCGTCAAAAGCAAAAAAAATGGGAAAAAAAATTTTGTATTCCAATGCCATGTTCGTACCCAAAGTGAATTGTAAAATTAATAGTTAATTGGTAAAAAAAACAAAATAGCTCACAAAGTTTCACAAGAATTTTTAGACCTTTTTTATTTTATTTTATGGAAAACAAGAATTTTCAGACATTTAATATAAGAACCGGATATCTTATATCACTACAAGTGCCAACTTCTTACATTCTTGTCAATGAAATTCATGAAATTAAGGGACAATGTCACTGCTTTATTATTATTTTTTTCAAGTGTAAGGTGAGGTAATAATTTTTTATTTTTATGTTTTTATTTGTATATTATATAATTCAAATTAAGAATATCTAGTTCTTATTCTTTTACCATTTCAAAAAATATATATTAAAAATTTATTTCAAAATAATAATTATTTTTATAAATAACAAATTGCTGCTTATTATTAAAAAAAT